CCCACCAGTCAATTCTCCTCATTCAATGGCTCTTTCCACACACTAGTCTGCCGTCATACACCCACAACTGGCAAAGGTCGTGGATCCACTGAAAAACATACAGGAGAATGGGCATCCTTAGGCCTCTTCAGAGGGAGAAAAGTTTAACCAAGTCCCATGTCAAATCAACATGGAAGATACATAAGATCCCTGATGAAACCTTAGGGTCCAAACTACAAAGCCACCTACATTAGCTGCCTGGAGGCCCAGGGAACATCGTGGGAGAGGGGTTGGATAGACTGTAAAAGATATATGACATGGTGGACGTGTAGCAAGATCTGTACACACACACACACACACACACACACACACACACACACACACACACACACGCGGCATGAAAGTAAAAGCTAAGCTAATTGAAAGGAGAAAGGTCCCGGAAGGTGTGGGGGGTGGTGGTGAGGGATGGATAGCAGAATGTCATGGATGAATATGCCAGAAAACACTAAATGCACATAAGAAACTGTCAAAAAAAAACCCCACCCAGTTTAAAAAATGTCTAAGAATTTAAATTTAATAAAAACTACAGACCCACAGATGCACCCAGGACCTGAGTGTAAGAAGCAGATGGAAACCCCACCAAGCACTGTCACCTAATACTGCTTCAGCATCGGGTTCCCAGTCCTCCTGCTAAGGACAGCTGAGCAGCGGGGCTTTGTATGAGAACCAGCAGGAAACAACTCTCCAGGGTGATAAATCAGTTACCTTTCTGGTGGCTGCAGCCAATTAGATCTGTCAAGAAGCAACTTAAGGGAGTGAGGGTTTATTTTAACCCATGGATTGGGGTTAGGAAATGTCATGACAGTGGGGGCGTGGGCTGGTGGGTCACTTTGCATCTGCAGCCAGGAAGCAGAGAGTGATGAATGCTGGTGTATCACTTGCTTTCTCCTTTTTTTTTTTTTTTTTTTTTGTTTTGGTTTGGTTTTTGGTTTTTGGTTTTTTGAGACAGGGTTCCTCTGTGTAGCTCTGACTGTCCTGGAACTCACTATGTAGACCAGGCTGGCCTCAAACTCACAGGCATTTACCTGCCTCTGCCTCCCTGACTACTGGGATTAAAGGCATGCTCCACCACTGCCTGGCCTTTTTTTTTTTTAAATTCAGCTGGAGTCCCCAGGGCATGAGAAAAATGCCATTCTGTTCTTCTCTCCTAGGTTAAACCTCTCTGAAACTGTTCTTACTGACACACTCACCAGCGTGTCTCCTAGGATACTCCGATTCCAGTAAAGTGGACAGTGAAGACGGGCCATCACAGGTGGAGAGAAGAAAGACTGGAGCAGATCTCAGGAGCAACAAAACACCACTGTAGTGAGCCTCCCGGCTCCTTTCTGTCTCATCTTGTCACACTATGTGCATTTATATATACATGTATTTATTCACCTGTAGTACACACATGATGTGTATTCTTTGCCTATTCTCACGTATGTGTAGGCAGATGTGTTGTGCACATGGACATATTTGTATAATGCACAGGTGGTTATGAGAGGTGCCTTATGCATGGTGTTCAGATATGGGAATATGTGCAGTGATGGGTGTAGGCATGCAGTAATGAGACATGTCTTGTGTATTGTGTGCACAGATGTGGATGTGTGAAGTGGTGTTTGTGCACGTGCCTTGTGTCTTGTATGCATGTTTGTGCATGTGTGTGAGTGTGTGCTGTGAGGTGTGTGCATGATCTCTTGTGCACAAGCATGGATACATGGAGGTGGCCACACGTCTGCACGGTTCCACTTTCAACACTTCTCTTGCAGCATGCTAAGGTATTCTGACTTGAAGAGAGCTCTTTTATGTTCAGAATTAATGCCCCTGCATGAAAATGCTAAGGAGTTAGAGACCATGCTGTGCTTCGTGGGCCTGGGGGAAAGCCTGTCAGAACTTTCCCTCTCAGCAGTGAAGAAGGCCGGATTCCTCCTTGGAGTACAGTCATTGGTAGCGGGCCCAGAGGATGGGTCCCCAGGCCTTCCCACCTGTGCCTTCTGCCCACATGCCCAGCCTCCATGGTTGGCAACATCTTTGAATAAATAGCAGATGAACTGATTGGATTATCAGACTGATTTTATTCTCTGCTCTAATGAAGAGCCCCTATTATGCAAATGCATATGATTGTGACAGCAAGTGTTTTAATTACAAATTCATTCCCCAAGCCCAAAATAAACTTTTGCCATGCTGGGGTGCGGTGGTGGTGAGGGGGGTGGGGCTGCCATAACAGAAGGAAGATAGCTAGACTCATTTCAGAAAGCATGCATCCCAGGAAAAGAAAATAATTAAGTGTCTTAGAATTAACCTGCAGCCGTTCATCTTTATCTTTCTGACTCAATGAAAGCTGGATGGACAAATTGGCTGTATTCATTCTTGTTCTATCAAAAAAATTTAAAAAGTGAAAAACAATGACAACAACAACAAAAACATACAGCCTCAATATCAGTAAAGGACATTGTGCATTCAGAGTTTGGGGACAGAGCAATACTCAAATCTGGGATGTCCCTTCCATTCTCTGCTCTGTCCTCTACCAGTCATAGCTGGAATATGTGGGTTGGCAGCCATACTACTTCTGGGGTGTGGCTTCTGTAGGAGCTAGGAGAGTGACCCAGATATTCTGCTTGCCTGTGAGGGGAGAGGAAGACACAGTTGAGCCTGCTTATTATTTTCTAAGTCCCCTTTAGAGTGCCAGCCAAAAGATGGAGCTAGAGGCCATACAGGGATGTCACTCGGTGGTCTCACACCATGAGGGCTGGGAAGCAGAGTGAGGGCAGAGTGGTGTCCTCCATTCCATGTCACTCTGCAATGGCTAGATTCCTTTCCCGTTGTGCCCTTTGAGCAACGTGACCTTGGACTTGATGCTTGGTGGTAAGGGAAGGCTTCTTTCCCTTTCTGGTAACTTTACACTGATTCTTTTGGGAAGAGGGAGGCCTCGAACTCAGGCTCTAGAGTCAGAAGAAAGATTAGTCTTAAGTGTCCCGACAGCATTCCCTCCTACCAGAAGTGGCAGGTGCTACCTACAGACTCCAGCTGATCACATGCTTTTTCAAAACACAGCATTAGACAAACTTACTCTTCCCAGAACTACCACTTCTAAGCCCTTGGTGCTGTTAAGTGGCCATTGTTCAACCTAGACACCTCAGCCTAGGGATAGTGAGCAGGTGTTTTGCAGGCACACCTACTTCCCAGGAGTCATACTGGGCCTGGAGCTCATAAGTCAAAGCGGAGTCCCTCTATCACAGTACTCTGTGGCCAGCTCATGAGTCTGAGCAGCAAGAAAAGGGTATATCTTCCTGCTGCCAACTCCATGCTTTCTGGGATGCCAACTGTACTCAGTGGGTCCCACACCCAGCTCTCTCTAGTTTATCGTCTTGGCGTGGAGTGACCTCATTCGGATTCATTGTGACTTTTTAATGCTTTTATCAGCATATATTAATTATACACAGCAGCGAGTCTCATTATGGCATGTTCATACATGTGTATAATGTATGTTGATCATATTCTCCCCTGCCACCCACCCTTGTCCCTTCCCAATCCCACTCATCCCCTTTCTCTTCCCGACTGGTCTCTCTTCATCTTTTTTTGTCTTTCTTTTAGTCACCCAATGTGTTTCGCTAGAATTTCTTATGGGAACAAGAGTGAGGGGTTATTTACAGGCATGCAATCACTTCACCTGTGGTGTGGCTATTGGTGAAACTGCAAAAAAAAAAAAACACAAAAACATGGGTGAATGTGATCAAAATACACGGAACACACATCTGAGTCTAGTGCCTCTGTGGTATGATTGTGGCTGCCTCTAGGCCATCACTCTGCCTTTGGTAGCTGTGGCTTCAGCTAGCTCTGTTGCCCTGAGCTCTCCTGGGTTTTTTGTTTGTTCCATTAGGTTGGTACAGTTTTTCAGAAGGATGAGACAGAGCTGATTTTTTTTCCCCAAACACACATACTCCATCCCTGCTTTGACAAATGTAGCTAGCTTGACCCACAGTGTTTGGATAAGTAGTTTCCATCATAGTGTATGGGGGATGTTGGTAGAGGTGATGCCTGGGCCCCAGTAGGGAAATAGCCCTAGTGAGGGACACTGCCCCTCTTGTTGCAGAGGGAAGACACCAAGGCAGTTTTAATGGGAAGTGAGCACTCTTTAAAGATACTGGAACTCTCTGGGACTCTAGAAACACTCGTTGCAACCTCAACACCTCAACATTGGTCTGAATTTCCATCCTTGTTGGACCATTGTGGTCTTTATTGGCTCCTTGTCTGCAGCATTGGAATAGCTCTGCCTTTTAGTGCCACATACCTACAGTCATTCCTCCATCAAGGGGTCCTTGTGATGTTCAGATTTGGCATATGTCATGCTGTAGGACAATTTCCTTGCTAATTGGGACAAGGAAATCTGTGATACAATGATCTGACTTCAGGAGCTATCCACCCAACATCAGCTGGAGAGACCAGAGATGAGGCTCTCCACAGACAGCCTACATGGGGTGGGCAGAGTCACAACCTCATTAACTTGTAACTGGACCCTTTGCCAACTCATCCTCAGCTGTGACTACAGCCCTGGGCCACATCTGGACTGAATCGGTACCCTACCTGCTGACCCATGGGAACTGTGAGATAATCAGTGAAATGGATGCACATCTGAAGGATATTACCACAGCTTCATACAAAACCCAGGGATGCTGACACAGGCCAGGACTGGGCAGCACACAAGAACAGGCCTCCCCTGGTCCAGTATTTCATGCTCTATTGACAACACCATTTGTGCATACGGTCGGCCCTGTGCTACAAGCCTCCACCCTGCTCCAAAAGTGTCCCTTTCTCTCTGACAGCAACTGCTTCATCTCAAACCCCTGAAGAAAGGTGCATACCCATCTCTGCAGCTGCTGTTAGATGCTTGGGGTCTCTCAGGAGCAATGCCCTGCATCCTCAGAGCCCCCCCCCCCCCCCCCCCCCCCCGCATCCAACTCCTTACTTCCAGCCTGGTTTGCTGCAGCATCAACTCTCCTGCACACATCCATGCCTTGAAAGTGATGATTGGATGATTCATTTTGCAAAATTTCCCCGAAAGATAATTACTCAATTTTCATCCATTTAGACTCCATAGCTTTCACACGTTTCAATATTATCTGGCTAACATTTTTCTTTCCGTGATTGGACAGAGGAAGAAAGGGTCAAATATGTGTCTTGGAGCATTTTCCCAGAACTCGAGAAAATCTATATACGGTTGAATAAAGGGACACGTCTGACATGACACACCTGAAGCCCAGAGGGGTCGGAGCCGGCGCGCTCGAACACGGATGGAGATAGTCCAGACTGTGTTTGAAGATCACAGCTGCCGACAGTGACGCACGGTGGTCTTATTATCTTCATCATCATTATTTTGGACAGTAGTCATTGGTCATTTCCTATGAGGCAGGCTTTCTACAAGAGTAGATAGATCAGAGGATTGATTTTTTTTTAAATCCCCATAACAATTTGGCACAGTTCTGTAAATACACGCTTTATAGACTTCCTGAAACTGCCTGGCTGGGTGCTGGCCCCGCACGGATTTATTGCTTGCCGCTGACCCGATGGTGTGTAATGGGAAACCTCTCGCTGCCCGCCATTGGGCTGGCGCAGCTCGGAGGCCCACCTGTGCCCATGGTGATCCAGCCCACTGCCATTTGTCCTCAACTCCAAACAGTCCCCAGACATATTGATCTCGGGACCAAATGTCAAATACCCCACTTTCCACAACAAATGTCTCTCTTGGAAGTTCTGTGTAAATTGAATTTTTATAAATCAAATTGCAGTTGTGGAGCCAGGAAAGAGGAGTGCTGTTTATGGGAAGCTTGCTGTGTCCCTTCACAAGCAAGGAAAACTGCACCGTGGGAAAGCCTTTCCTCAAACTGCTTTGCAAGCTTTGGAACACTGTTTTTATTTTTATGACATCAAGGTGTGGTCTGTGGTGTGTGTGTGTGTGTGTGTGTGTGTGTGTGTGTGTGTGTGTGTGTGTGTAAGGCAGAGATTGATGTCAGGAATCTCCCACTATTGCTGTTATTATACCAGGAGACACTTGGTGTCTCAAATGACTTTAAGTCACTGGTGGGCTCAACTAACCAATGATCAATCAATCAAGAAAATACCTGGAAACACTTCCATCTTCTTGGAATCTCTGCCGGGGGGCAGGGGCACTGCAACTCAGAAACATGGTTGATCTCAATTTGCCTTCAATCCTCATTGGTCTGACACCCTTCAAGCTCATTTCCACATAGATTCCTCACATTTCTGCTGGTGAAAATGAGCAAAATCTCATGTTTTTTTTTTTTTTTCCACACCATATGCTGTGCTCTCTCCTCCTCTCAGGCCAGACTTTAAACTTGTCCCTCTGCAGGATGGAGGCAAAGATTCTCCCATAGGCGGTGGAACACCGAGAGGGCTCGTGATGGTGAGACTGACATCATTCTGCAAGTCAGCTGACCTAGGGGAGCACACTGCAATGTTGCCAAACACGGACAGGTTAGCTGAACTTCTCCGCATTAGAATGACTTCTGCTGGCAACGGATCTGCAGAGAGGATCGGGAGTTCAACAGCCCCGTCTTTCTGCGCATACACGCATGCGCTGCTCTTGCGAAGGACTCAGGTTCAGCTCCCAGCACCCACACCAGGCAACTAAAAACCGTCTCTAACTCCATTTCCCGGGCCTCTCCAGCCCTCTTCTGGCCTCTGTGGGAAACTGTGCACCTGTCCTGTATGTGCTTTCACATGAGCACACATTAAAGTACACTTAAATAAACATCAATTAACTCTAAGGAAAGGTTTCCAGCCTTACTTCCAGATGCAGCCTGTTCGAGTCTCAGCACTCAGCATTTCCCCAGTCAGCTGTCTAACTCTTACAGAAGATGGTCAGTAGCCGTGTGGACTGAAATCATACTGGCAATCTGAAACCTGGGCAGATACACCTTGCCTCTCTCTGCCTACCCAGAATCCTCCTGCCATCAAAGGAAAGAACATGACATTGAAGCAGCTATGAAATTCCCTTGGATTATGATTCAAACTGAACTTCAACGGTCTCAAGTTGTGTGCCTTCCCTACCCATAACTCTCCAGTGTGGGGAAAGCTAGCCTTTACCCCTCCATGCATGTAGTCATCAGGTAAATACACCACTACACCATGGTGATCAGGTGACACAGCCATTTGGTCCCTTGCAGCATTTGATGACACCCCCCACCCCGCCCCGGCGCCCTGCAACCCACCCTCACTTCTGCACTGCTGTCAGCCCAGTGCATTTGAGCTCAATGTCACATTAAAGGCAAAGGATGTGACCAAATCAAGCCCAGAATCCCATCTTGAGGATCCGTTTTCTGGGCTGTAACTCTTTGGTGCTACCTGCTCTAATAGCCAGGTTCAACTGAAGAAAGAAATTACACAAGTTTCCACAGATTAGACTATAACACAGGGACTTGGCTACGCAAGAACTTCAGGGCTGAAGGAGTGAGAAGAAAAGATAGGAGAAAGCTGGGGGAGGGAAATAAAGGGGGTGGCTTTTTTCTGGTCCCAGGAGCATGGAAGGGGGCTGCCAGGAGCATGACCTGACCCTCAAGAGCGGAGCAAGTCCCCATTGCCACCGCTGCTGCCGATGAGACAGGGCTTCCTCCGGCTCCGGCTCCGTCTGCCAGCCTGGCTCCTGGGAGTCTCTGTGCAGAGCTTGTTTGGATGTCTGTCGGTGATAGGAGAACAGCAGACAATAGCGGCACAAGTGGGTGATTTGCTGGGAACACAGAACTTGCTCTCCGAAGAGAAGAAAGACAAGTGCTCGGAGAACCGGGGCCGTTCTGGGGCTGAGAGATGAGAATGGGGGAGGTGGGGTCCTAGGCTCCTTGTGAGAAGGATACTGAGACAGGCACAGGAGAGGCTTTTGAAGGCATGGCTCAGCAAACGCACTTGCCCTTCTCCGATGCCCTGGGGGAGAGATGGCATCCAGGTTGGAGCCGAATTGAGGCTGTCATTCTTCTTTTTGCTTTTGGTCTGCAGGTGTGGAGAGAGCTCCTCTACCCACTGTTCACAGCTTGCTCGTTACGTGCTCAGCTCTGCAAGTTGGGGCCACCACCCCCTCCCCCTGTCTCAATTGCCTTCTGTTCCATGAGGGAGCCTCACAGTCATCCCTGCGTCTCTCCTCCACATCTGCACTGATGTGCTCAACATGTGCGGTTAGAGTGATGTGAACAGCTGAGAAACAGGCAACCCTTGTGCACAAACACAAATGTATTGAAATGGGCGTGGAACAGGGCTATAGATCTTATTTGTTTTCTCACGTTACACAGAGATCCACGTATTTAATTTTGTTGTTGTTGATGCTGCTCTGTAGCTCGTATGCACTGTCTGACAACCAAGTAGAACATCACGTGCCACCTTCTGAGACTAGTTTATCTAAGCTCCAGCCACAGACTCTCAGATGCCTGAAGTCCCCAATTATGGCCAATTATGGCCGTACACCCAAATTCAGTTGTCAAGGCTCTCAGGTTTGCATTCCAGAGCTAAGGGAACTGATTCTTAATTCCTTTTTGTTAAACTGAGGAGTCATTTCCATGCCGTAGAGTTTACCTTATGAAAAACACAGGCACTCACATCGCCGCAGTCTAATTCCAGGAGATTTTCATCAGCCCATAAAGAAACCCCGCCTCATTAGCAGTCACTTCCCATCCCTGCAGCCACGGCAAGCCATTGACCTACTTTCTCTATGGATTTGCCAGTATTTCTTTCCTTTAAAAATGGTGTTTATTAAGTTATTGGCCAGTAGATGAGAAAAGTTCAATCAATTATATGCCTCAGTCCATAAAACATGACCCACTGCCTGCCTGCCCACCCTCTCTGCTTTCTGCTCTCCCTCCTTTCCATCCCTCCTTCCTTCTTTCATTAATTTTATCTTCCTTCCATTTTGCTTTCTTTCCTTCCTCCCTACCTCTTCCCTCCCTCCTTTACTCTCCTTCCCTCCCTCCCTCCCTCCCTCCCTTTCTTTCTTCCTTCTTTCCAAGATCATCATCACCTTCTTTTCTGCCGCCAGTCCTGATGCCCTGGATAACTGGTGTTAACCGCGGTGATCACACAGGTAAAAGCCCTTCTGTGTGAGTTTGGTCTGTGTGCATGAGTGTGTGCCGAGTCTTTTTCCTTTCTCAGTGCTCTAACTTTGCTATTCAGAGCATATATATAGCTTTATTTAGGAGTTGAAACATTTCTTCCTGAAAGAAAGCAGAGCCCCAAGAACCAGCCATGGCAAGCACAGGGCAGGAGCTGTTTTGGAGCCCAGCATTTCTCTTCAGACCCGGCAGTGGAAGCAGCCAGAGGTACTCCTGCTCATGGAAGCTTCCTCAGAAAACAACCTTGAGATCAATAAAGACCTGAAGCACCGGGAATTGGGAAACATCAGACATTTAAATCTGTAAGCTTGCAGTATCACTGAACAAATCTCATCGACCAACTGCGGAGGACCGCAGGCAAGGGATGTATTTAACCTGAAACCCTTATCAGGAAGCTATCTGTGTTCCTGTCTTCCTGTGTCTGAATTTACCTCAAGGCAACATGCTGCCATGAGCAGGAGATTCTCCTTATAAAGTGAGAAGTTACAAAATCGGAATACCATATTGCTTCAGGTCTCATTGTCAATGGTTGTAAGACAATAAATACTAATAACTGTTGACATAAAATTAGGGTCATGCAGATATGGTACAATTTACTGTAGAGATGCGATATGGTACCCAAGAAATGCCTCCACCCTGACAGAGCAAAGCAAAAGCAACAAAATATAATCACATATCTGAGCCTTCAGTTTCCAGGAATTGTACAGGGCATGTGAATAACCCAAATCATACCATGACAACGCAGTCAGCGAAATCCAGGCACCTAGAGATCCCAGCACCTGAGGAGGCTGTGCAGGTTGCCAGGGGAGAAAAGACATCAATGGTCTCACCCAGTCAAGAACCCTGTGATTTAAAATACCAGCCCGCTAGGCATGATGTACCTGCTGGTGCAATGGTAGCTCAACTGTTACAGGGACAAGTGATATCCTCTAGTTTTGAGGCCCATTCCACAAGAAAGAATTCATGCTTGGTACTGTCAATCCAGTTAAAAGTCTTTGGTTGAGGATGTCTTAGGTACTAGGAGAGAGCTTACTACTATTGCTTGGCTGAATTGACCTAGCACCATACTTCCTTCTAAACACTTATGTTGACACCCGTAGACAAACACTGCTGACTGTCTTAGTTAGACAAGATTCTCTTTCCAGGAAACAGTAGTGAGTACAGAGACGGCTCAAGGTGCTGAGCAGTGATGGTTGGGTGTTCAGTTCTAAATAGAATGATTCATATCACCACCACCCCTCCCTAAGGCTCAGGGGACATTGTGGAAGAGGGAGAGGAAAGGGTGTAAGAGCTGGTAAAAAGGGAGAGGGCTGTGAAAAGCTGTCTCCAGGCATGATATAGCCAATGCCATCATGATCTCACAGCAGTTGTGGCTGCCTACAGTGAACCTGTACAAGGCTGGACTTACAAATAACCAGTTATAAATCAAGGAGAGGCCTACCCTTCCCTGTGGACTACTGATGGATTCTGGGAGACGGGGATGCACTCTCTTCTGTTGTGTGTATACCTACATGCTGATGAACCCACCAGGCTCTCTAACAGTCCCTAACCTACGGCCACACAGTCAGCCCTGGCTGACCTCAGTGGGTCACAATGAATGTGGGAAAATGGCTTGTGCAGTGGATGGGTGACTCAGATCTGCAGGAATAGGGTCCTGAATGGTGAGGTTTCCAGAGGCAGAACAGAGAATGAGGAAAAAAGAAGGGGAGAAGTGAAGGCAAAAGCAATAGCTGGGAACAGGAGGTCTTGTGTAAGCTGATGCCGTGTGCGAAGCCAGTTTATAAAGAAGTATAGCACTTTATATACTGCTTGTAGGGGGAAAATGTCCAAGGGGAGCAGGCAGCAGAATCAGACAATGTTGGTAGACAGAACACATGATCCCTCAGACACAGCTGCCTTAGGACTGATATCCACAGCTGGGGGTGGGGGGAAGACGGGTCCCCAGAAGTCTCAGCTTTGACTGCTTCAAGGCAACGGACTCCATCCCCAGACCAGCTTTGCCAAGTCTGCTCCTAGACGAGGACACAGAATTGACGTTCCCTTGTCATTTTATCACGGCCTCGGAGAAAATCTCCCGTTGGTCTGGTTCCCAGCCAAAGGATAATAATTAGCGTGAGGGAGATAAGGGAGGATTGAGGGTGGCAATAAGCAGAGTGCAGTGTGTGTGTGTGTGTGTGTGTGTGTGTGTGTGTGTGTGTGTGTGTGTGTGAAATTGTCAAAAAAAATTCTTGAATTTTTTTTTTTTAAATCCAGGCCCTGAGAAATACAGGGAAGTGCTTTAGAGTGAGTGAATCTCCAACAAACTCTCTACGAGGAAGAACGAAGTTATGAGACAGAGCAACTAAAGGACCAACAGACACGCGGACCAAACCCCCGGCACAGCTGCCTGTGTGTGTGCCCGCAGTCTTGAGCACACACACAGGCACGAAGATATCGGTTGCTAGAAAGCACTTACGAATGCACAGAAAATGCAGACACCCACAGTGTGTTTGATGATCGTAGAAACTGGTGGTTGAAATTCTCAGAATGGAGCTGGAATATTATGAATTAATCCGCCGGGGACTCTATTCAAAGGAAGAATTTATGTTTCTGAATTACGTCCTTAAAGATGAAATCATATTCTCTTTAGGATTTTTGCTTCAAAAATAACCACACAGGATGGGGTAGGTGGGTGGAGGCACAGCAAAAACAGGCCTGGCTGCTGATCCAGCTTGTGAATGCCGAGGGAGCGCAGGGAGTTCATGATCCAATTCTCCTGTTTTTACATATGTTTGAACTTTCCAATCATTAAAACTAAAAGCAAAAAGAATGCTTCTTGGGAAGACCTTGGTCTCCACACACCCCTCCTCTTCCTTGTTCTGTGAAGTGGACCCTCACTTAACTTCTCAGACCCTCTGTTTCTTCATTTGTGAAGGAGAGATATGGCTGTTAATCATATTGGAGAACATTTAATTTAGCATATAAATCATGGCTTGCAGAGACATCTGTTACTCTACAGATATCCGGCTCAGTGTGCGGGACTTCCACAGAGAACTTCATGAAATGGCCTCAGTCAGTTAAGCAAAACAGTCCATAGTCATAATCAGAAAAGTCCCCTAGCCTGTCCCCACACATAAGAGGGCTTCAGAGGATAAACCAAGGACGGAGGTCACTGGCTCAGGGGGCATTTGTAAACCTAACTTTCCCAGTGACTACCAAACTGTCAGCCTTTGTGTCTGGGCCTCTGTGTAGTATCTTCCCATCGGTTGCGGTGTGAGTCTTATTTTTACATAACTTTTGCTTCTGTCCTAGTTTGCTTTCTGTCAAGATAAACTCCATGGCACAAAGCAACCTGCCTTGGAAGAGGTTTATTTCACCTTACAGTTTACAGTTCATCACGAAAGGAAGCCAGGGCTGGAGCTCAAGGCAGGAACTGAAGCAGAGGCCATGGAGGAGTGCTGCTTACTGACTTGCTCCCTTCGCTTGCTTTCTTATAGCACCCAGGATTACCTACGCAGGGGTGGCATTATTCAGGATGGACTGGGCCCTCCACATCAACCATTAGTGGAGACAACGGCCCACGGGCTTGCCTACAGGTCCATCTGATGGAAACACTTTCTCAGTTGAGGTTCTTTCTTCCTGGAAGACCCCAGCTTGTGTCAAGTTGACAACAATCTGGTTCCCACAGTGTTGTTCACTGATCTCTCGCCCACTCCCCTTGCCTGTCCTCAAATAGCCTGTCACTGGCTGTACCAGCATTTCTCTTCATTTTCCCCTGGGGAAACCCAAAGGCCCTGGCACAAGCACTTTGCATACTTAGACCGATATTTTACTGTTAGGCCTCCATCTCACCCAAGTCTTTTTTCCCCTCTCTGGATCCTTAGTCTGGTGTCTTTTCTGAAACTGAACCTAATTTGGGGCCCTCTCACTCTATCGTTTTTACCTTGACACCTGTGCATTCCAAGACGTGGTTGAAAAGTCTGACTCCCCCTGAACATCACATAGTCACACTGTATATTACACATATTATATTAAGTAGACCCGAAGAATCTGATTGCTATTTACTTGTGAGCTTCATACAGGGGAAAGTTTCAAATGTTATCTCTTTAAAATGTTGTTCGTCATTCTTGAGAATTCTGTACTGGTCCACAATGATCATACCTACCCACCATTTACCCTCTTCAACTGTCCCTGCTTCCCTCCACAATGGGCTGGGCCCTCCTACATCAGTTAAGAGTAAAGACAGTCCCCCACAGACATACCCACAGGACAATCTGATCTGGGCAATAACTCCACCTAAAGTGTCTTCTCAGGTGACTCTAGGCTGAGTCAAGTTGACATTGAAAGCTAACTAGAACACGTACTTATCAAATACTTTTCTGCTATGGTGAAGGGTCTGTCCTTTGCATGTTTCTAAGTTAGTTTACTGTTATTATTGTTGTTGTTTTTATTATTACATTT